GCTTTATTGTGGTTTCACTTGTAATTTTAACCTTGATAACTAACCGATAGCATACGGAATCACATCAGAGAGACTGAGAGAGAGAGATACACACATTCTCCTCAAATGCAACACCCGCACGAAATGAACACTTTAGTCATTAAGGTCAAAGAATGCTCTCAAACGCTCTGAACGAGAATCCTCTCCCGGCGCCGACCCTGTTCCCTTCTGATCGGCCGCCGGACACTGCTATCTCCATTGGTGACCCCTCTCCCTGCTCCAATCTTGAAAAGGCGATCATCTCCGACACTGACATGATTGTCGAGTCACCTGAGGCACAGCCACAACCGACTCAAGCCCCGGAGATCTCTCTGGCCGCCCAGATACCTCAGTCGGGCGATCCCCTGTCTCTAATCTCGTATGCTTCAGCGGTTACGGGGCTTAAAAGCCCTATTGCTTCGCTACCGGCGACTAGCCTCTGGACCCCGGTGGGCGAGAACGATCTCATCCCGGGGGAGCGGAACGGAGAACCGGCACTGAAAATTTCGACGGAGTTCAAGAATCGGATCTGTGCACCATGGCAAAGAGCTCTCGTCGTAAGGCTTCTTGGCTGCAAGATTGGCTTTTCCACTCTTTGCTCACGGTTACGCTCTCTTTGGCGGCCAGTTGGCTCCATGGAAGTCATGGATCTTGATTTCGATTGCTTCCTGGTGAAACTCGACAATGAGCAGGATTACTTTCGCGCGCTGACTGACGGACCGTGGGTGATCTTTGATCATTACCTTGTGGTCCAACAATGGACCCCCAAATTCAAGGTGTCAGATCCACTGCCAAAGAAGATGATTGTTTGGGTTCAATTGCCCGCCCTAAAAGTCCATTTCTATCACAAGGAGGTCTTGATCACCCTCGGCAACTTGATCGGTCGCACGATTAAGTTGGACTTTCATACTTTAAACCGACAACGTGCTAAGTTTGCATGATTGGCGGTAGAAGTTGATCTTGGAAAACATCTTGTTCCGAGAATATGGCTAGATGAAGAATGGCAGAAGGTGGAATATGAAAACCTTCCAACGGTGTGCTTTGAATGCGGCAAAATTGGGCATATGTCGACAGAGTGTCCACAACTGTCCCCTCCGGTCGCTCCCGCGATCGGTTGAACGTCAGGTGGGGCGGCGACAGCTAGCACGCCGGCGACGGAGCCAGAGGAGCACCCAGGTTTCGGACCATGGATGATGGTCAGCCGGAAAAGCAGGCGTGATCCTCGTGTGGGTACTAGTAAGGGAAAGTCGAATCCGGGAAATGGCGGGGTGATTCCTACACCTGTGATCAAAAAAGGAAAGGAAGGGGCGGTATCAAAGGAGACCGACCATCATGCCAATAGTGACAAGTCTTCCCATATTTTGAAGCCCCAAGAAGGGAAAGGAGGCAACGGGAAGAAAAGTGGGGAAGAGGTGAGGAAAGGTAAAGAGAAGGCGGTTTATATTCCCGCCGGGATAGACAAGGGCCTCCTTGGGCCAGGGCCGAACAATCAAAATATGGCGGGCCTTGGTGTTAAGCCCACGAAAGCCTCCAATATAGCCTCCTCGTCAACCAACCCCACTAGCCCCCAAGGACCCTCTAAGTCTGGCCCATTAAAGAGTGGGGAGACTGCTAGATCCTCAGCCCCAAAACCAGCCTCGGCCACCAGCTCAATTCCCCAGCCCATCCATGTGATTAGCGGCCCAAATGGGACCACAATGCTGATTGTGGAAGTTCGATCGCCTGAGCAGAAGAGTCGGGACTCCATAGGGACGAACACTCCTTCAACGCGAGCAAGAACGAAGAAATCCAAATCCGGGAAGGAGCGCGTGAAGAAAACTTCACCGACCAAATTCAACCCTCTGAAGCAGCTGCAAATATGGTCGCCCATGAAGGACAAGAGATCAAAATCCAAGTCCCGCGTTGCCTCGCTCACTCTTCAAGAGATCACCGCATGGACAGAGGCGAAAGCTCAGAGACCCGCCGAGTGGGCAGCTGCGGATAAGCTTAAAGAGATAGCGCCTGGCCAGGATGAGGAGACGTTCTTCTCAGCTCCGCACGCCTAGCGTCTCCCTTTCTCTCTTCTCTCCCTTCTCCCTTTCTTTTTTTGCTTATCTATGTCTATGTCTTACAACCAGAACATTAAAATTTTTGTTTGGAATGTGGGTGGTGCAGGTAGCAAACCCTTCGCCCGAGCTTTGAGACTGGCGCTTCAGCAGAATCGGCCGGATTTTGTGGTTCTCCTCGAACCACAGATCAGTGGGGAGAACGCCAATTCAGTCTGTGATAAGTTGGGGTATCCTAATTCGATCAGGGTGGAAGCGGAGGGTCGCAAGGGTGGGATTTGGATCTTTTGGGATGCTGGGCTGTTTTCGGCTAACATTGTTTCTGCTTGCAGTCAGCATATTTCACTGCAAATCTCGAGAGGTGGTGGCGCTCCTTGGATTCTGACGGCAGTGTATGCCTCCCCTCGTAGTGGTCTGCAGAAAGGCCTGTGGGAATGTTTGATTGAGCAGAGCAAGAGGATCGATATTCCTTGGATCTTGTCAGGGGATTTCAATGCTATTAGGTCTCCCGACGAGAAGTCTGGCCCTTCCTCTAGCTATACCAATCGCCGTTGTCGTCTTTTCAATGATAGGATCAACCTGGCTGAACTCGTTGATCTGGGTTTCTCCGGCCCCAAGTACACCTGGACGAGAGGCGAGCAAGACAACTCTTACAAAGCCAGCCGCTTGGATAGAAGTCTCTGCAACCTGTATTGGAACACCTCTTTCCCCAATACGTTTGTTGTCCACCTCCCTCGGCTTCAGTCAGATCACAGTCCCATCCTGACTTCAGTCACCAGTCAGGGAAGTTCCCCTGCTATCCCCCGTCCCTTCAAATTCGAGGCGGCTTGGTTCTCCCACTCTAATCTGCAGAGTTTCGTTACTGAATCTTGGGATCAGAATGTGCCTCTTCATAATGCCCTCTCTTTGCTTGCAGGCAAGCTTCAGGAGTGGAACAAGAGTTTCTTTGGAAATGTTCAGCAGAATAAGCGGAGACTTCTAGCTCGCCTGCAGGGAATCGAGGATCGGCAGGCTCAGTCTTTCTCCCGGGGCCTGGCTAAACTTCACTCTCAGTTGGAGAAGGAGCTTGACAAGGTTATGGAACAAGAAGAGATCCTCTGGTTTCAAAGAGCGAGAGAGAGTTGGGTCAAGTTCGGGGAGCGCAACACTTCATACTTCCACCAGCATGTTAATATTAGGAGGAGACGCAATAAAATCGAGGCTCTGCAGGATGCGAATGGAGCTTGGGTAACCGACCCCCAGGAGCTATCTGCTTTAGTTTTCGGCTTTTTTGCTAACCTCAGTTTCCAGGATGAGACCGAGTACGAAGACCGGATGCCCAAGAACTCTTTTCCCCGTATCAGTCAGACAGAGCTAATGATGTTGCTTCGGCCCTTCAATATTCAGGACATCCATAAAGCTTTGTTTGACATGAAACCCTTCCAAGCCCCGGGTCCGGACGGGTTCCAGGCAGTCTTCTATCAGCAGCTGTGGAAGATCGTGGGCAAGAGCCTCTCTGATATGGCGGTTAACATCTTTTCGACAGGAGTCCTTCCGGAAGCGGTGACGGAGTCCACTTTGGTTCTGATACCAAAAGTGGAGAGACTAGAGTTTGTGAGCCAGCTCAGACCGATCTCCCTTAACAATGTCAGCTTAAAGGTGATCACCAAGGCTCTAACCAGTAGGTTGAAACCGCTAATGAGGAAGCTCATATCCCCGCGCCAAAGCAGTTTCATCCCGGGAAGACAGACAACTGACAACATCATAGTGGTTCAAGAGGTCCTTCACTCGCTGCACAAGAAGAAAGGCAGGAAGGGAGGGATTGTACTCAAGATTGACCTTGAGAAAGCCTATGACAGACTGAGATGGGACTTCCTCAGAGACACTCATAAGGAGGTGGGACTCCCCAGCTCGTGGATAAGCGGCATCATGCATTGTGTTGAGCAGAACAGAATGCGCATTCTGTGGAACGACCAGCTCTCTCAACCCATCGCCCCTTCAAGGGGCGTCCGCCAGGGAGATCCTCTTTCTCCTTATCTCTTTGTCCTCTGCATGGAACGATTATCTCATTGGATTGATGAAATTGTTGCTAATGGCAGATGGAAAGCTCTTAGACTTTCAAAGAATGGCCCGCCTCTCACTCGCCTATTTTTTGCAGATGATCTTCTTTTGTTTGCAGAGGCTAAGACTAGACAAATCAAGATTATCAAGGATTGCTTGGATGCGTTCTGTTTTAGCTCCGGCCAAAGAGTAAACTACCACAAGTCCATCTTGTATGTTTCCCCAAACATCAGCAGGCGGAAAGCTAACCACCTGAGCCAGCAGACTGGGATTCCTCTCAAAGCGTCCTTGGGGAAGTACCTGGGCATTCCTGTGATCCATGGAAGAGTGACTAAGGAGAGATATCAGCCTCTGTTGCTTCGCATCCAGAAGAAGTTGGCTCCATGGAAGGCGAAGCGCCTGTCTTTCGCGGCGCGCCTCACTATGGTGAAATCGGTTTCGTCCTCCATTCCTGTTTATAATATGAATACCGAGCTAATTCCGGTTGGTGTTTGCCACGGTATTGATAAATTGAACAGGGACTTTGTGTGGGCCGATGAGGAGAACAAGACGAGAATGCATCTGGTGGCATGGGAGAAAATGACGATGCCTGAGTGTCAAGGAGGAGTGGGAATCCGGCCTACACGACTCTCCAATCTCTCTATGCTGGCCAAAGGTGGGTGGCGCCTTATCAAAGAGAAAGAGACTCTCTGGGCCCAGATCATGCGTTCCAAGTACGGCCGTCAAAGAGAAAACCTGGAGATTCTTCGCCCATCTCAGGGAAGTTCCTTTACTTGGCACAGCTTTACCAAAGCTGCTCATCTGTTGCGGAAAGGCAGCGCTTGGAACATTAAGAATGGGAAGTCTGCTAAATTTTGGTTGGATCCGTGGGTTTTGCAGGGAGCTCTCAAGGAGGTGGCGGTGGACCAAATCTCGGGGCACCTGGAGCAAGCCACGGTTGCGGACCTCGTGATGGAAGACGGGAGCTGGTGTACGGAGCTGTTTGAGGAGCTGTTGCCGGTTGATGTTTACCAGAAGATTCTGAGCGTTTCGTAGATACGCTAGCTCCGGATGATGACACTCTTTTCTGGACGGCCTCTTCGGATGGGAGGTTTTCCACTAAGACTGCCTACAGTCTCCTCAACCAGCACCCTCAAGACCCGGATGAGAGGCTTTGGAAGGCGATATGGAGGCTCCCGGTCCCGGAAAGGGTGCGTAGCTTCACTTGGCTCGTTTTTCTTGGCAAAATAGCTACAAACTCCCTGCGTTGGCAAAGAAAGATTGCGGCAAACCCATTCTGTCAGAAATGTCAGGGGGTGACTGATTCGATCCTGCACATGGCCAGGGACTGCTCGGCAGCGAGCTTCTTCTGGTCCCGGCATGTTCCAGCGGCGCAGCAGCACGTTTTCTTCAGCCTCGGGCAGGACCATTGGTTCAGAAACAATATCTTGAGTTCCGTCACTATGGACTCCGGGATGCCGTGGGCGGCATTCTTCAGCACAGCGGTTTGGTTAATCTGGAAGAACCGATGTATGTTTTGCCTCAAAGGAGTTGGGGCCTCCCTTTCTCCTCCTTCCCTGGAGCATTCCATCATGGCGAAGACCCAGATGTGGCACGAGGCGTGGCTCGCTCCCACTCTCCTCCCCGCCAACAGTAATCATCCGGCTGCTAGAGTGGAGGCGGAAGTCGGGTGGAGCCCCCCGCCGGAGGGTTGGACCACCCACAACACCGATGGGGCGTCTAATGGTAATCCGAGCCCGGCCAGTGCTGGTGGAGTTATCCGCGACTTGTTGGGTCACTAGGTGGCTGGCTTTGTCGCTAACATTGGCAGCGCTACAGCGGTCCTCTCAGAGCTTTGGGCTATCATGTATGGGCTCGATTTAGCGTGGAATAATGGGTGCAGGACTTTGCAGGTGGAGACGGACTCCCAGTTAGCTATTCAGTTGATCAACTCGAGAGATGACCCGATTCACCCTTATGCTACTATCCTCTCCGCGATCCGCAGGAAGCTTGGTCGGGACTGGTTGGTTCGCATTACTCATATCTACAGGGAAGGTAATAGAGTCGCGGACTGGCTCTCGAAGCACAGTCTCGTCTATCCCTACGGTAGGTATGAGTTGGCGAATCCGCCGGTGGGTGTTGGCCCAATTCTTCAGGATGACTGTAGAGGTGTGACCACTACTCGTAGGGTGGTTGCCCGTCCTCCTTCCCTTTCTCCTCCTCTCCTCGTGTAACCTTCTCCCTTCTTGGCCTCGGCCTCCTGTTCACGAAAAAAAAAAAAAAACCTAACCGATAGCATACCTTGTTACATAAAAATTCAAAACACAATTCTACCTTGAGTTAATACGGTGACAGGTGACTAAGCTGTGATCAATTAATAAATAAATAAAAAAAGTTCGCATATATCAATATGGGCTCGTCTAGGGGGAAAAACTATATCAATATTGTTATTTAAGTTTCTTAATCTGTAATAAAAGCCCATTTGCCCACACACACCTGCAGCTCAACCCCCTGCAATTAGGGGTGTGCAATGGTCTAGTTCGCACTGGACCGAGTACAATGCAGTCTGCTACTTGGTTCCCATGAATTTTACAATTATTGAAGAAATCATGGACCAAACTGATATTTGGACCGGATAGAATGCAATAAGAGTTCAACCCTTGATTCTAAGATGTCTTTCACTAATAGACCATAGTTCTCACCGTTGCACACCCTAGTTGCAATGTTACCGTGTTAGAGGTTACATGACATCGGTTTTCTCTTTGATTTAAGAAATGCGTCTCTTTTTTGTTTTCCTCTTCTTCTAATCCTATCTTTAAAATTTTAAGTCAAACAATTGAATAGTTATGTTATATAAGTGTGTGAATTTTCATTATATGTTGTATACAATTACGATATATTATTTTGGTGTAATGTAAAA